TGAGGCGTCCTTGAAGATCTCAAAGACCTCAATTCAAAAAAAATTACATGAAGAATTAGGAGTAAGAAAATTCGTTGCTCGTTGATACCCCACCTGTTGACTGACGAGCAGAAAGCAGCCAGGGTTAATTGGTATAAAAAACCGCTTGACCATTTCAATTTCCGGAAACTTCGAAAAACAATAAAGACATTAAACGTAAACAGTGATCAGCACGTGAACAGATCCCTCGAAAGCATCCACGGATATACTCCAGTCACTTTAGGTCTAAACATCCTCGGCAGTGTATTTCTAGTGAATCCACAGACCCTTTTTCGTGTCATCTTGAGACTAGAAAAAGGATGACTGTTAAAATAAGTAACCTTGATCTTTCATGAGCTCCCAGTACAAAACATCATCGATATATTTTTGATGTAGGAACAACAAATTGGTTTAGAAAACATCCACTTTGAAGCTAAATTGACTGTAGTAACATCGATCTACAGACAAATTCAAGGTCACTAGCAGTCGTCGGCGCTCTACGAATCTGCACAGGTTTGGACTTGTAAACGTGATTGTAGATGACACGACAGGCATCTAACAGTTAATTCACGCACAGGATTGCATTGCATACGCATTACGCATTCAGTAGCGTATACTCGTTTTTCGCGAGTGGAACGTTTTGTTTATATACATATATTGCCTAAGATACGATGTCTGACACAGATACAGCCGACGAAGTGGTTGACATCAGCGCAACCCCACCCAAAAAAGGGCTAAGAAGCTACATTTAAGTGCAAATGAAAAACAAATAATATTAAATATATACAAAAACCAAATTCAAGAAAAACCCGATTTGGTCGTGGACGAAGTTATATGTAAGGTAGCACATATTTCTGGAGTATGTCGGTCCAGTGTTTATAGGATCATTAAGGAATATAGGAGCACTCACTCACTTTCTGAGCCAAAACCGTATCCTGCAAGAAAAAGGATAACGGACGGAGTAGATGACTTTGACAGAACTGCCATCAGGAGAAAAGTGCATAATTTTTTCTTCCGAAATGAGATACCTACAGTAGATAAGATATTAAGATTAGTTAATGCTGATGAGGATCTTCCATCATTTAAAAGAACCACATTCCAAAAACTTTTGAAGGAACTTAATTTTCGATTCTTGAAACGGAGAAGAAACAGTATGTTAATAGAGAAAGAAGCGATTGTTGTGTGGAGAAGGGAATTACCTTAGGAAGATTCGGAAGTTTCGCGATGAAAAAAGAAAAATTTACTATTTGGACGAAACGTGGGTGAATGCTGGACATACTCAAGCGAACGTTTGGGTTGACAAATCAGTAACATCATCAAGGCAGGCTTTTCTAGACGGTCTTTCGGCTGGATTGAAAAATCCTGCTGGTAAGCTCCTTCATCTATCCGGCAATTTAATTTTGATAAATTCGGGCAAATAATATGCTGTGATAGCAGATAATGTGTGATATTCTCCAAAAATGGTGCATTCGCAGTGTAGTCATTAGGAAAAAAACTTCGACCCTCTTTTAAGCGTTATTTTGAAATTTATTATCATTTTTGGGTGCAGTCAATTTGCTTTGAATGGGTTTTGAGAAGTTGCAAACTTCAATTTTCTACGTTTTTCAGTTTTTGATCAGCATTCCGTGACTCTTAAATTCAGCTAAATGAACTCAATTGCCTCATTCCTTCAAATTTAATCAATCCATAGTGTAAGGAATAATTTATTTCCAGGAAAAGGCAAACGGCTGATCATTTGTCACGTAGGTAGTGAAGACGGCTTTGTTCCCGAAGCACTGTGGGCCTTTGAATCAAAAAAGACAGGGGACTATCATGAGGAGATGGACGGCAATTCCTTTGAAAATTGGTTCTCCAAAATGTTACTAAAGCTGGAGAATAACGCTGTTATTGTACTGGATAATGCCCCGTACCATTCTAGAAAAATAGAAAAAATTCCCACAATGGCAACTAAAAAAGCAAACATACAACAATGGCTGGCCTCAAAACAGATCGATTTTGATGAAACAATGGTCAAGGGTGAATTGATAAGTATAGTCAATAGACATAAATACAAATACGATTTTAAAATGATCGACGAAATGGCCAAAAAACAAAATAAAACTGTCTTGAGACTGCCACCCTACCATTGTGAGCTGAACCCTATTGAGCTGATTTGGGCCAACATAAAGCAATACGTGGCGTCGAATAATAATACTTATAAATTTTCTGATGTTAAAAATCTCTTTCACATCGCAGTCAATAGAGTTACGACAGAGGAATGGAAAAACTGTATCCGTCACGTTCGGGAGAAGGTTGAGGTCAAAATGTGGGATTTGGACAATGTCATCGATACCCAAATTGAACCTCTAATAATTTATTTAAACGATTCAGAAGATTCAAGTTCCTCTTCTGAATGAGTGCGCGCACCTTACTTACTAATAACTAAAAAGTGTAGTTAACTCATTTGTGAATCTCTAACTGAAATTTACTGTAAAAGATAATAATTATCTTGTATGAAATTTTTGATGACTACCCATAATATCTTGATGCGGTCCTGTAATGTCTCCTGCGCCTAAACACTCACTCACGAGCAATATGGGTGTATTTGTTTGGGTTTAGTTTCTTTCTTCAGCGCCTAGAGTATACCTACCGTGTTGCTTTATTTCCGTATGCAAATCTTAAAATACATCCCTCGTAAATTGTCAAGTCCTACGTTTACTAATAGTTCGCTCGGACATTACTATGAACCAAACATACTTCTCAACACGTGCAATATTTTGCAAAACAATAACACGATCGTTGTTAGTGTGCGCTACCGTTACCTAAGAGCCGCCATAAAAATTCCTTCGAAGGTTTCAGCTCGGCACAGCGCAAAGGCCGATTTACACACAATTAATGTTAAATTTATGGAAACTTATCGGCTGTTGGTGCAATCTGCAATTGGCTGCATCATAAAAATAAACGTGTTCGCCTCGTTCGGTGCAACATGCGCGGAGTCTTCTTTGTGCCATTATGGTGTAGTAGAACGACCATTATGGTATTTTTTGTTGATGTTAACTATGTTGCACGTGATCGAGAAGATTTCACATGCCCGGCGGTTGCTTTAAAAAAAAATAGTTTTGATTAAGGCGGCACTTCTTTAAGAATGTGTAGTTTGATAGTCTAAGCTATACCGCGTGTTCCAAATTCGACCCTCACCGTCAGCATCTCAGAAACAATAAGAGATACGAAGTCACTTAAATGGAGGCAACGTTGCTTAGAAAGTTATGAAACTCAAATTAGCGATTCAAAAACACATAATTACATGATCAAACCAACTTACATGTGATTGATGTTCGATTATAAATATGCGAAAACCTCGTCTCGTAAATAGAACAGATGTAGTACCCTGTTTCACGGCCAAACCGTTACCGCCGAGAGTACAAGGCCTGACAACAAACGCGTGACGTCACCACGAGTAGGCCGGTCGGCCGGCCGACAGCACGGCGTGCCGTACATCAGCGCTAGTGAATAATATATTATTGCAGCATATTTAATGATGCAAATAACGGATAATTCAGAAAAGTGTTTTTGGTATATGAGGGCAACTTGGTGGAAAATATTAAAGTAGTTAACTATTTTCACCTTGATTTTCACTGATATTTAATCCAACATTACGTGCACGTTAGATTAATAAGTTGCTGTTATAAAAGCTTGCTAAAAATGAGTTCTTCAGTGAATAACCCCATGTTAGTCACAACCGATCAACAAAATGCCACAGGAATATGTGGACAATTTACTATTATTATAGGCATAATACAGGGTGGCCCATAAGTCCTTTGAGCTGGAAAAAAGGAATAAAACCAAACTAGTTACATTATGAAGAATTATTATATTTTGTTATCATCTTTATTGAATGGGAATTATGTTTTAAAAATCACATCGTCTAAATGCAATCCATTACGATCACGGCATTCATATAAACGACGTCTAAAATTGTCGATGACTGCGCGGCAAGTCAACACTGTAATGCTTGCCATTTCTCTTCGGATATTTTCTTTCAGGACATCAACTGATCGCGGAGTGCTGTCGTACACTTTACTCTTGAGGTAGCCCCATAAAAAGAAGTCCATTGGGGTCAAATCTGGACTACGTGGTGGCCAGGAAATGTCTCCTCTTCGAGAAATTACTTTGCTGGGAAAAAATTGACAGACGACGGGCATAGAAGTGTTGGAGGTGTGGGCAGTTGCTCCGTCCTGTTGAAACCAGGTCTGCGTATTATAGCCTGAAAAATTCTGCAACGCTGGTGTCAAAATCTCTTCTATCATTGCTACATACCGCTCCGAAGTAACAGTTAATGCGCGACCTCTGTCGTCCTCAAAAAAATAAGGGCCTACGATGCCATGGGCTGACATAGCAGCCCAAACTGTAACTTTAGGGCTGTGTAAGGGCTTCTGATGCTTACGCCTTGGATTTTCGGGGCTCCAATAACGGCAATTTTGTTTATTTATATGCCCGTTTAAATGGAAGTGAGCCTCGTCCGAGAACAACACATTATTGAGCGAAGAAAATCGATTCAACATTTCATTCGCAAAGTTTAGTCTCTGAATAGCGTCATTATCTTTTAATTCCTGCACTAACTGAATTTTGTAAGCGTGCAGACGTAAATCTTTCCTTAAAATCCGCTGTAAAGATGTTCTGGGTACGTTTGGCGCACTGGAACGCTTACGAGTAGACTGGGTAGGATTTTGACGAACAGACTGTGCCACAATGTTGATGTTTTCTTCAATACGAGTTGTCCTTGGTCGACCCCACCGCTGTTTATCTAACGTCGAACCAGTCTCTTCGAACTTAGCAACCCAGTTCTTAATCGTTTGAGCTGTTGGACACTTTGTAAAATTGTGGTATTCTCGATATTTACGCCGCGCAATGGTTGCCGAATCATTATTTTGATAAAACGCGCGCACACAAAAATCACGATCCGCTCCAGTGAAACACTCCATGGCGACTGAATTCCCAGACACTGAAGATACTGCCCCCACCTCGCCCGCGCCGCTCACGCTCACCCGTTAAATTTTATTCAAATTTGAAATTTCAAAGGACTTATGGACCACCCTGTATAATGGTACTTGAAAATTATGTAAAAAATGTAGTGCTTCTAGAACAGTTGTGTCCAGCAAGAACCAACGAGGAGGTTTGAGGTAAGCTCTTGCCAGGAAAGGAATAAGGCAGATGAGGAAGAAAAAGTGTAGGATAAACGATAAGAAAAACAGATAAAATCAAAGTAAAATAAACAACAGAAAAATTTTTGTGTTTTCTTTGATGAGTAGTTCTGGGACCACCCTCGTACATCTGTACCACGTTTTATCAACATCCTTTTGACATGTTTGAGCAACAGATATACACACCTTCTACGCGCATTCATGCATTGTCCACATTTTGTAAATTGTATAATTTCAGATGGATTCGAGCAAAAATCAAGAACAAAGCGGCCCAGAGCACCGCCTCCTGATCCAGAAAACGATCTAGAAAACGAATTCGACGAAAGAAACAACCAGATAGACAGCAGTACGAACTTTGTGCCTCCAGGATTCCTAAGCCCGTCAGTCATGGAGTACCTGGAACTCGGAAAATCTATACCAGGTTTGTATCTGCACATTTTGAAAAAATATGTAAATCATATTTATGTACATTATGTGTTGAAGTTTTAGGGAAAAAATGGAAATTAATTAATATTTTCAGAACCGCTTCAGACATTTCACTGATATTTAGTACGTAGTGATATTTTTTAAGAAAAAAATGGTACGCCAATGGTTTTTTGCCAAATGAAAATTATTTTTGAATTCCCCGTTCAATTTACAACAAATGATCTTTCTTGAAATTGTTTTCATTCGACGCGCCATTTCTATGCGTCCATGTTTTTAATACCTCCTTCAACAACTTGCACCAGACTTTACAATTATACTAAGTGACAAATAAATCCGAACACCCAGTTTAAATGGTTTTATTTTAATAAAATTTTATATAAGTACTTAATGAAGCATAATAAGTAAATGATAAAAATTTCAAAATGATTGCACTGCTTTAAAGCCCTTTGACCTTTAATAATGTGTGGATGCACCCTGATGTGCTACGCATCCTCCAACGCGCCTAGGCATGCTTCTGATCAGGTGGTCAATGTCCTCCTGTGGTATCTCATTCCAGACAACCACCAACTCCTCTCGAAGTGCTTCTAGAGTCTGAGAAGGACGTTGCAAATTGAGCAGTCTCCTACCCATCATATCCCACACATGCTCAATTGGGGATAAGTCGGGAGATCTTGGTGGCCATGGTAACAATGTGACATCATTATGTTGAAAGAAGTCTATTGTGACTCTTGCAACATGTGGTCGGGCATCATCTTGTTGGAAAGTTGGATATGCCAGGGTGTCAATATAGGGTAAAAGATGGGGTTCTAGAACTTCGTGGATATAACGCTGCGCGTTCATGTTACCTCTGATGAAGATTAAAGGTGACCTTGAACCATAAGCTATAGCACCCCAAACTATAACTCCAACAGTGTGATGAACATGTCTTTCAACAAAAAACTGTGGATTCCTCCTTTCACCACGTCGCCTTCTAACCCTGGCACGACCATCGTGCATACTTAAACAAAATCTAGACTCGTCACTAAAGACAATACTGTTCCATTCCTGATCCCAGAGTGACCGTTGTCTGCACCACTCAAGGCGATTACGTCGGTGTTCTCGAGTTAAAGGGAGGACCCAGTGTGGCCGGTATGAAAACAAGCCAAAACTTCTCATTCGTCGGTAAACACTTCGCATGCCAATAGGTCTTCCGTGTTCTGCAAACCATTCATTTGCAATGGACCTGGTAGTGGAGAAACGGTCCCTTAAGGCCAATAATCTTAGGCGGCGATCTTCACGGTCTGTTGTTCTACGGCGGCGTCCAGTGCCCCTTGCTCTTTGCGTACGGCCTTCTCGAAGCCATGCCTGACAACACCTAACCACAGTGTCTACACTTCTTTGCACTCTACCTGCAATTGCCCGAAAAGAAAGTCCAGCTTCCCGAAGACCCACTATACGGCCCCTATCAAACTCACTAAGTTGAGTTGACGAAATCGTACAGGTCTCCGTACTATAGGCATCGTAACCGATCGTAAAGGATGTCAAGAACCAAAAAATCCGCCAACGTTGATTCTTTACTGCGGCTGAAATATTCATTTTTAGAGCGTTAGTGAATTAAAAAAAAGCAGTATAAAAACCGGAATGTCCAACGGATACGGCTGAAAAATTTTTCATTTGTTATTTACAGTTACATTCACCAACTTTTATTAAAATAACATCATTTAAACTGGGTGTTCGGATTTATATGTCACTTAGTATATTTCGTGGAAATTTGCTATGATTAGACTATGAGGTAGATTAACAAATAAAATTTATCTGCCTCTCTCCTGAACTAAGACCAATCGCCCACGTAGAAAATAGCAACAATAAAATACACAACGAAGCATCGAAAGCAATAATGATAATTTCTCGTACAAGCCACACGACACATAATTTCTGAACCTTGGAGGACCGGCAGACAGAAACTAGGGCAAGGTGGTCACCGATACCAACGCTAAACGGTTCTTGTAATCCTGTAGTTAGTTTTTATGCACTTGGAACCTTGGACGACGGATCTGCTGTCAGTAGGGCGACACGATAATGATCTATGGAATTGTTTTTTTTATCGGTCAGATGGTAATTGGTTATGATTGTAAAAATACGTTCGAGTCTGCTGACACATGCCCACAACATGCGCTGACTAATAGTGACTCACCAAAATAGAAAAAAAAACGGCGTCAAGTAGGTTGACTCTGCAGTTACCACGCAATGCCGTCTTTAGTTCATGAGGAATATTTAGGAAGAACCGATTTTTAAAAAAAGGTTTGACACAAAATCCTTAGTAAAAGTTTCTTAAAGAAATCTCTACTTTTTGTTCCATGTTTGCCTGTTATGGCTATAAAGAACTTCTAACATGATTTTTTTGACACTGAGCTACCGTTAATACACTGCCATGCAAAATTAATCGGACAAAAAAAAATTGTTCAAATTAAGTTTTAATTAACTTTTTGACCTTTGCATCAATTTCGTTAATTTTTTGTCAAGATTTAGGTAATTTTAGAGATAGTCTTTTTTTATTTCCGGATTTTCATGACAAATATCTTCTAACTTTCTTTTCATACCATCCCTGTGTTTCTTCTGGGCAGCTGCGTTTTGAACTTTCCTGTTTAAAGACTGTTTTGCTATTTTTATTTCCTCGCGCAATTTAATGATCTGTTTATCAACTTCAGCACGGCTTGGCATATTATCTCTGGCAGAATACAAAGCATTCAGATTTTTTTCGAGTAGAGTAATCTTATTTTTCATACATTCCTGAGAAGGTTTTGCTCTCTGTTTATCTGTATTTTCATTAATTTCGCATTGCTGTTGAGATTCATTACCGGGTTTTATTTTATCTTCTTCCTCTTTTTTAATATTTGAAGCTTTCTGTGTAATTTGTGTTTTTTCTGCAGGTTTACAGGTTGCCTAAAAATAAAAACTTTCTATGGCTTCTGCTAAAGATTCTCTTATTAAGATACATAAATACAAAATATGGCAATATATATGGTAAATACAAATCGCTATGGCTTTAAATCTAATATGTTTAAACGAGCAATTCGTTCCGGTCACAAAATACAGGGTGTTAGTTTTCTGTATATATGTATAAAACTAACATCCTGTGCTTTGTACCAATTGACGGAATCAATCATAAGAAATAAATCTATAATATTTCCCGGACGTAAACTCACTCCACTCTCGGAATGTCCGGGTGGAGGGTGGGCTCGAGGGAACAACATCGAAGATAAAATTTTTTTTTCGAACATCTGCGGGATCAACAGCAACTTCCCAAACTACGAGGTGCACTCCAATCTGAGAAAGAACGGGGGAGTTGTGGCTTTTGTCCGCAGCAGTCTTTCCTGCTCCAGGGATCTTTCTTTGGAATCAGACCGGAAGGACATTCTGTGGCTTCGCCTCAACTCCAAAACATCACCCAAATTTAATTGCTGCCTTTATCGCTCTCCCTCGAACCATAACTGGGATGACCTACTCGAATACCTCGCCGTCCAGATCGACTTCCTGAACATCAATCACCCCGCTTCAGAGGTAGTTCTTCTCGGTGATTTCAATGCCCATAATGAGCTTTGGTTGGGCTCAAATAAGACCGATGCAGCAGGTCGTGCAATCGAAGCATTCGCTCTTACTCAAGGGCTGACCCAGCTGGTGACGAGCCCTACTTTTTTCTCCCGCATCTCGTCACACGCCAGTAGCCTGCTGGATCTCTTTCTGACCACGCATCCTGCCCCTTACAGCACTGCTGTCCTGTCCCCCCTGGGCAACTCAGATCACGGTGTTGGCATTACGGACATGCCGACTGGGAGGGGTTCAGAGACTTCTTCTCTAGCTTTCCTTGGAGAGATGTCTGTTTCACTGACGCGGATGCGTCGACTGTCTGTTCTTCAATAACCGAAATTATCCACGTCGGAATGGAGGAATACATCCCTCACACAGTGAAAGTTCCTAAACCAGGGTCCAACGGCTGGTTCAACAAATCGTGTGACACTGCTCGCCAGCAGAAGATCAAGGCCCACAGAACCTACTTACAAAACCCCACTGCAGAGAACAGACAAGCCGACGTCGAGTCCAGAAACAAATATAACGAAGCGGTTCGCAATGCCAAAAACCAGCATGATATCAAAGTTAGGCACAGGGTAATGTCGCAGCGCAATGGCAGTCGGTCTTTCTGGACGCTGGCCAAGCAGATTGAAAAGAACTTCTCACACAGTAGCCTTCCACCACTTACGTGTCTTGATGGAACTATTGTATTCGACTCAAAGGCCAAGGCGGAAGTGCTAGCCAAGATCTTTGCTGCCAACTCCACCATGGACGTCCCCACCAACGCCCAAGTGCCGTCAATTCAAAGGGTTCCCCACACTATACGGGAGGTAACATTCAGGCATAAGACCGTAAGACGAGTGCTCTTGTCGCTCGACATCAACAAAGCTTCTGGTCCGGACTTGATTCCTGCCATTGTACTGAAGAGGTGTGCAGCGGAGCTTGCTCCAGCTCTTTCGCGTCTCTTCCAGATATCTTATGAATCCGGCACCTTCCCAGAAAACTGGAAATTTGCTCATGTACAGCCCATCCCAAAAAAAGGATCTAAGACCGACCCTTACAACTACAGGCCTATAGCTCTGCTTTCTGTTATAAGTAAAGTGATGGAGAGGTGCATAAATCGCGAGTTTCTGGACTACCTCGAACGTCACAGCTTGATTAGCGACAGGCAGTACGGTTTCCGGCACCAACGATCGACAGGGGACCTCCTAGCTTACGTCACGCAACTGTGGAGTAAACTCATCCAGTCTCATGGTGAGGCTCATGTCGTTGCTCTTGACATCACGAAAGCGTTCGATCAGCTGTGGCACGCTGCCTTCTTAAGCAAACTTCCATCCTACGGCCTCCCAGAAAAGCTTTGCAGATGGGTGGCTGACTTTATCTCTGGCCGCAAAATATCCGTCGTAATTGACGGATTCTCCTCTTCATCCCACAATGTCAACGCGGGTGTCCCCCAGGGATCGGTCTTGGCTCCAACACTGTTTCTCTTACATATCAACGACCTCCTATCCTGCACGATCCACCCAATCCACAGCTTCGCTGATGACAGCACTCTACATGCAGGAATTCAGAGTGACAAGCCGATCTCTGCCGCTGAGCTGGAAAAAAGAAGACTAGCGACGACTTCTTCTCTGACAAGAGACCTGGAGGCTATCACTGCTTGGGGACGCAACAATCTTGTACAGTTCAATGCTTCCAAAACACAGTACTGTACTTTGACGAACAAAAAGCGTCCTAGCGCTCATACAGTTTCGATGGACGGTCGAGTTCTACCAAAGAGCCATTCATTTCGGCTGGTCACACATCTCTTTAATAGCTGCAGCTGCTGGAAAAAAGCTAGGCTATTTGTTTAGGGCTAAGAAGTACTTTTCTCCGCATGACCTTCTCACTCTATACAAGGCCCAGATAAGGCCTAGCCTCGAGTATTGCTCACACATTTGGGGTGCTGCCGCCCCGACTACATTGTCCATGTTCGATGCTGTCCAGAGGAGGGCGGTCCGACTGATCGATGACTCTTCTCTAACAGACAGTCTCGGGACTCTTTCGCACCGGCGAGTCGTCGGCGATCTAGCTCTTTTCTATCGCTACACCAACGGGCTTTGCTCCTCAGAGCTCTCTTCCATGATGCCGCCGCGCGATGTGCCTGCCAGACAGACCCGCCTGACTTCGGCATCCCATCCTAACCGTGTCAAGCTTCGTACATCCAGAACTGGCCGATACGACCGCTCCTTTGTCCCGAGGGTGTCTAGATTGTGGAACAATCTACGGGAGGAAGCTTTTCCCAGTTCTACTAACCTTAGGCAGTTCAAAAATCGGATTAACAAAATTTCTTTGGGACCATCATAGCAGCCGCGGTGTTCCGGCATTTAGGCTTCTGCCTGCGCGGCTGTTTCGATATAAAAAAAAATATATATAATGAATATTACTTCTATACTTTGAGATAGGCCATAATATTTTCTAATCAGTAAAGAGAAACTTTTTGGCGATTTCTAATACTCATAGGTACCTAAAATGATTTCGTTACTCACCTTAGGAAAAAAATTTAGTAGATTGGATTTGTTCTTAGTCGCCTTTTGCAATTCTTATTCGATTCTCTTAGATACAATAATATATAGTTCCTTGTCGGATTTTGCTTGTAATTTGTAATTTCGCCACACTTCGTTAACTAACTTTTGTACATTTTGTACTTTCGTACTTGTATGAGATTTTTTAAAACTTTCAAACAATGTTTGGTATAACTTGAATTTGTCTATGTGAAACGACATCTTATTTAAACATTAAACTTTGGCTAATGGAATAAATGGTAACACAAATGTTAACTTGCTTTACTATGCTTACAATACGTCTGCTTGCTATAGTATCCAAACGAAACAATACACTGATAGAGGAAATTTAGACAAGTGAACACCGCGCGGTAATTCCCCTACTCGGTTCTAAAGCGAGTAGGGGAATTACCGCGCGCTGTTCACTAAACGTATGCATTATTTGCGGGAATCCCCGAAAATGCGTTTCGTTTTCAAGCAAAGACAATGTGAGGGTTGCCATTCGTGTAAAAAAGTAAATAACTACCGATGACGTAATCATCATCTAGACTCCCCTACCCCCCATGTCATCCAAAATAAGCAAAGCAAGTATGAGAATATTAAGCCTCAACTTTTCTCAACAGTTCTTTTTTTCATTAATGTCAATATCTCAATTATTGAAGAATATATGCTGTTTTGAAATTGGTAAAGGTTTACGCGCTAAAACCAAATGTAATAATCTGTTTTTTTTTCAGCATACCTTGCTAGTTTTCATTGAAATAAATACTCAGTTGTCTCAACCAACTATTAATAGTGGCCCATGAAAAAAAATCATAAGTTAGAAGTTCTTTATAGCCCAGAACATGCGAAAATGGAGCAAAAGGCGCATTTTTGGAAAAAACTTAAAGGTGGAAATATCTCCAAAACTAGAAAACTTTTACTAAGCTGATATTGATTTTATGTGATTGATCCGTATAAACTTTTCATGCTGAAATTACTAAAAGAATCACCTCCTGAAGTTTGTCCGCGTACTAGAATAACACTCTCCCTGTATATGAATAAAAATATTTCTATTCAGGTACGGATTTTCCCCTAGTAATTTGAACGTTGTTTTCTCAGGTAGACCAGGATCAGACTATCCAGTCCTAGGCACAGTGCCGTATACCAACTTCTACTGTGACGAGCAGCCTTATCCAGGATTCTTCGCCGATACAGAAACGCGTTGCCAAAGTTGGCATTATTGTGACATAGACGGAAGACAGACGACGTTCTTGTGCCCCAATGGTACCCAGTTCAGCCAGCTGGTACTTGTGTGCGACTGGTGGTTCAACGTTAGATGCGATCTGAGCGAAAAGTAGGTTATGAAAATGTTCGAGTATTACTTGACTTTCTGAGATTATACCTGTAGTAGCTTGGAACAACATGACGGCGTGATGAAATTCGAGCTACTAGCAAAAACATTACGATTGTAGGTTTGTTTTTTAATGTTCGGTGTAGGCGTTCTACTTTGAGGCTATGCGATATGAAATTGTTCTGCTTTTTATTTATACTGAGTGACATATAAATCCGAACACCCAGTTTAAATGGTTTTATTTTAATAAAAGTTGGTGAATGTATTTATCTTACTGTAAAAAACAAGTGAAAAAATTTTCAGCCTTATCAGTTGGACATTCCGGTTTTTATACTGCTTTTTTTTAATTCACTAACGCTCTAAAAATGAATATTTCAGCCGCAGTAAAGAATCAACGTTGGCGGATTTTGGTTCTTGACATCCTTTATGATCGGTTACGATGCCTAGAGTACGGAGACCTGTAGACACTGTGGTTAGGTGTTGTAAGGCATGGCTTCGAGAAGGCCGTACGCAAAGAGCAAGGGGCACTGGACGCCGCCGTAGAACAACAGACCGTGAAGATCGCCGCCTAAGATTATTGGCCTTAAGGGACCGTTTATCCACTACCAGGTCCATTGCAAATGAATGGTTTGCAGAACACGGAAGACCTATTGGCATGCGAAGTGTTTACCGACGAATGAGAAGTTTTGGCTTGTTTTTATACCGGCCACACTGGGTCCTCCCTTTAACTCGAGAACACCGACGTAATCGCCTTGAGTGGTGCAGACAACGGTCATTCTGGGATCAGGAATGGAACAGTATTGTCTTTAGTGACGAGTCTCGATTTTGTTTAGGCATGCACGATGGTCGTGCCAGGGTTAGAAGGCGACGTGGTGAAAGGAGGAATCCACAGTTTTTTGTTGAAAGACATGTTCATCACACTGTTGGAGTTATGGTTTGGGGTGCTATAGCTTATGGTTCCAGGTCAACTTTAATCTTCATCAGAGGTAACATGAACGCGCAGCGTTATATCCACGAAGTTCTAGAACCCCATCTTTTACCCTATCTTGACACCCTGGCAGATCCAACTTTCCAACAAGATAATGCCCGACCACATGTTGCAAGAGTCACAACAGACTTCTTTCAACATAATGATGTCACATTGTTACCATGGCCACAAGGATCTCCTGACTTATCCCCAATTGAGCACGTGTGGGATATGATGGGTAGGAGATTGCTCAATTTACAACGTCCTCCTCAGACGCTAGAAGCACTTCGAGAGGAGTTGGTGGTTGCCTGGAATGAGATACCACAGGAGGACATTGACCACCTGATCAGAAGCGTGCCTAGGCGCGTTGAAGAATGCGTAGCACATCAGGGTGCATCCACACATTATTAAAGGTCAAAGGGCTTTAAAGCATTGCAATCATTTTGAAATTTTTATCATTTACTTATTATGCTTCATTAAGTACTTATACAAAATTTTATTAAAATAAAACCATTTAAACTGGGTGTTCGGATTTATACGTCACTTAGTATATATTATCTGTTTTACTAGCCTAAAATTTCTTACAATTCAAAAAGAAAACATAACTTTACGATAGGAGAGCGCTGACTCTGACACGGAACAGTAGAAATCTGGAAATACCCCTTTCTGTTCATTTTCGAAAAATTTCCAAAAAATATTATTTGCCAAAATACAAAATTGTTTAAAAATTGACAAATAAATATGAAAAATCCACAGAAGGCATTGCTAGTTAGTTTGTTTTATAAACTAACGTCGAAAAATGTTTCCTTCCAAAAACTCGGGGTGTTGAAGTTTTAGGAAAAAAATGGAAATTAATTAATATTTGAGTAAAAAAATAAAAACTCTATTAACTATCACTATGTACTAAATATCAGTGAAATATCTGAAGCGGTTCTGAAAATATTAACTAATTTCCATCTAATTTTTTTAATTTAATCAAGAAATACCCAGTATATTATCTTACTAACTATCAAAAATTGTATTATCTATAAAACATATAATTAATTCTAAAAAGTATTTACATTTTTGAGATTTTTGTTTTCTATATAACTACATAATATGTATAGTTATTCGCTGCGCAGTACTAACGCAGTTTTTTAATTTTAAATTTTTTTTCCAAATCCAAGTGACTTTATTTCAAACTTGAGTCACTTATCTTCACAGCTTCTAGAACTAGTCAAAAGAAGTTGATATACCAAAACTCACCTATATAAAAGTTGCATAATACAGGGTGTTTCATAATCAACATATATGGTCGCATGAAAATCCGCATGCAGTTCGGGAAAGAAATTTTCAGCATGAATTTAGTGTGAACGTGTGGATTGGTATCTACCGTAATCGACTATTTGGACCCTACCGTTTGCCTGCAAGGTTAAATGCTGCGACCTTCTTGGAATTTTTAAAGGCTGAACATGCAAATATGTGGGATGATGTTATGTTAGATATAAGAAGATTGGCCTGGTTCCAGCTTGATGGTTGTCCAGCTCATTATTCGAGAATAGTTAGAAACTGGCTGGACGAAAGTTATCCAGAAAGATGGATCGGCCGTGGACGACCAGTCGCCTGGCCTCCACGATCCCCTAACCTAAATCCATTAGATTTCTTTGTGTGGGGATTTCTAAAAGAAAAAGTGTACCAGACTCCCGTAACCACAAGAGATATGCTAATAGACAGAATCAGGAATGCATGTGATGAAATAAGGCCTTATTTGAACTTTTGCTATACCATGCTCGATCATTCGTAGATGTGAATTGTGTATTGAACAATTGGGTTTACATTTCGAGCAACTACTTTAGATTTTGTATGTTTGTCCTAACTATCCAATAGCATTTTAGTTGTAAATAATTAATTTAATTTGTTAAAAATAATATTGGAAAATTAAACAAATTAATATTCTGTTTTTTTGTGTTTCATTGGAATTAGGAATTATTGCTGTGTTTAAAAACACAATCTAAACGATCATCTTAATTACTTGTAATGCCCAAATCGAAAATTTACAAAAAAATATTATTTTCCCATAAATAATTAAAATGCATCGAACCTTAAAAATCGAAATATCTCAAAAACGGCTAACTATAACGAAAACTCACAGGAGAGCTTTTTTATGTTGAAAAGTGCGAAGAATCAGTTTTTTTATTCAAAAAGCAAAAAATTGCACTAAGAAAAAAATTTCGGTCATTTTAATACACTACAGGTATATCAATTTTCACTGTTATACATCAAATATTGTTCGAAATATTTAAAAATAAACTATTTTAGAAAGTAAATTTAAACACCCTGTATTTCGGAAGCCACGCATTTTTCGACCCATGTTTATATAGACTTTATGGATCAATTTTAAAAGTGCTATCGAATCTCAAAGTTATGCAACAATAAACTGAAACACCCTGTATTATTAACAATTATTTAAAAAAAATCATTATCAAGTTAAATGGATACCCTTTTTACAAAAACTGTTCTAAATTGTTCCTATTTGTTCGATTAACGCAAAATCTTGCTAAAGGAATCCACGACTCTTTACAAGCTTAGAAAAAAAGTTAAAACACTTTGAAAACACCCTGCATAAATTGTCTTATGGATATAATTTTAATAATAACGACGAACTCTGCATTACTACTAATGCACAGTACATTATATAAGTCATAAAAAATACAAAGAAAATTAACGCGCCAGTTAAAGGATTGCAACCACAAAAGTACATTTTTTCTCTTGTTTTATGCCTGAATTACATAAATCATGTCACACCTATATTTTCAACGAAAAGAAAGCTGTTAAATATCCGGAAAGATCCGTCATGATGGAATATTGTTAATTACATTTATAAGCGCAACACCAGAATATAAAATAAATTTACATACATTTTTGTATACATGTGTTGTACGCATGTAATACTGGGCTAAATAAAATATTACAAGATATGAAATTTTAATCATTCAATTTTAAAATGAAATTGTTCTTAAATAATGTAATATTCATGTGTTTCACAAAGTTAATTGAATTGTAGAACCATGAGTCAATATAAAAAATGTAAAACGGTATAAACTGCACACTCCGAAAAAAACAATCGTTTTTTCTATACATCTAGGCCATTGGTGGTGGCTCACAACATATACGAAAAAGGTGTAAAAATCGTAGAAGCTTCCGTAAAGTTTGTAAATTCTCATAATAAACACAATCAGCGGCAACACTGCGGTGAGCGATCTGTTCGAGAACGATCTCGATTACTTTTAACGGAATAAATACGCAAGGCGCGGCGACACTGCGCTCAGTTTAAAAGTCCAGCCAACTTTATAAATAAAGACGAGATAGTGTCTGCTATAATACCTATGCAACTTTCTGCTAATACAGTGATGAGACTAGTAGAACTAATAAGGGTTGATGTAGTTTTACAGTTAAGAAATGACTTCGATAACTGTGCTGTTCGTCAGGATAGTTTTTAGTGATTTTACGATTAAAGATTTTTTGAAGTTTATTCCACTAAAAGGACCGACTACTGGTCAGGACTTTTTTCTTTCAAAAATATTATTTCTCCTGAGAAAATTCCCGTATCGAAAATGGTAGGCTTAACAACCGATAGCGCTCCAGCTATGGTGGGTCGTGATTTGTTTATTTATGTATTTATTTACAACAGGTGAAACCCAATTACAATAACAATTAAAGAGACATGGTTCTTGGACTTAAATCTATTGTATCACACATTCTAAATAAGATTGGATGATCCATAGCAGTTAATAATCGATGCACAACTGTCACTGTAAATATCACACGATTCAGTAACACTGTTCATGACGCAGCACATGAGATTAATTGGCGATTTTGTCATAACATTTGTACGGCCAGCTTGACAATAGAATGCCGTTTGTTGTCGACTCCCTAGCCTTGGAACGCGGAAACATATTTTTTCAAGTAAATTTTGACAGTCAATTTTATTGTGAATGAGGCCATATAAAAACGACAAAGCAAATATGTTTCGTCTTGTTGACAGTGAATCCAAATTGAAAAACTCTAATAGGGCACTATGGTCACAACCTGTTTCTGGATAAGAACCTGTGCATTTAAGGTGAAAATACTTGAATGGCCTCAAGGATCACGACAGAATTTTGGTATATAGGAGACCAGATCAGAGTCGCATACTCCAACTTACTCCCGACAAAAGTAAAAAATAAAGTCATTAATGTATCAACATTGGAGAAACCCTTCCAGTTTCTGATACAGAAACCAGTCGAGTGGCAGCCGACGAGATATTGAGTATATGCTCAGTAAACGTTAGCTTGGTATCAAAAGTGACTCCAAGGTCTCTATAAGAGGTGCATCTGTCTATAACCTGACCATTGATGTTATAATTATCATAAATTAAATAGTTAGCCTTTCTTGTATAAGTCATAACTTTACATTTCGAAACATTCAGACTGAGACAGTTTCGTGAACACCATGACGAAATTAGAGCTAAGTCATCTTGCAATATGACGCAATCCTCGACAGTCTTGACTGACGTGCAGATTTTAAGGTCACCAGCGAAAAACAAATGGAAGCATTTCAGTTCAAAAGACAAGTCATTAATAAATATCAAAAACAATAATGGACCCAGATTTGACCCTTGAGGTACCCCGGACGTGGCCCGATAGTAACTCGACCTATGACCACCATATTCGACAAATAACCTTCTATCCCTCAAATATGAATTCATGAGCGACAGCATGGCATCAGACATACCCACTGTTTTAAGCTTATCCAGAAGTGCATAATGATCAACTTGATCAAACGCCTTCTGAATGTCTGTGTAGATGACATCAAATTGTCCCTGACCGTCCAGTGCTTCAGAAATGTACTGAGTAATTAGAGCCAAGCTGGTGACCGTAGATCTGCCTCTCATAAACCCATGATGATTAATAGAGACTGCACCCCTGACCGAGCAGTAAACCGTTTCATAAGCGATGGTCTCAAACAACTTGCTGAAATTGCACAGGATTGCTATTTGGCGATAGTTGGAAATATCAGAGATATCCCCACTTTTGTGAATAGGACATATTTTAGAGGTCTTCCAGATATTTGGATATGTCTCTGATTTTAGAATTAGGTTGAATATGGAAGCCAGCGGTTTCGCTAGTATATGAATGCAATCTTTAACGAAAACACTTGGAATACCATCACATCCAGACGTCATTTTGTTCTTTAATCTTTTCGAAGCCCTAATTACTAATTTTTTAAAGAAATGATATCGGTAGGATTATTTGTTGGAGAAGATGACCCTAGTAGACCAGACGGGATAAAAACTGTTGAAAAGAAGGTAGCAAAACTGTCCACTATATCCTGAGGCGTATCGCAGACATTGTCGTTAAGCGTCATCCTTGGGGGATTCTAGATTGCTGTTTTTTGATCTGGGCGAATGACCAGAATTTGCTTGGATCATTGATAATGGCATCCTCAACCGAGTAGGTAGCACTGATCTGGTTCTTAATGAGCTTCCTAAAATTACTGAACTGATCATAAGAAAACTTAGTTTCGTCACGTTTCCAGTTCCTTCTTGCTATGACCTTCTTCTTGATATTAAGTATAATTTCACGAGTGAACCATGGGGGATACGAAAACATTTTATTTTTACATTTAGGGACATGGACCTCAAAGATGTTATTGGTAATTGAATACAAGGCGGTGCGAGCGACATCAACATTAACTGCACTGATCACCTCCGTCCAATTAACATCTTGCAAGGCTGTGTACATTTCAGGAAAGTTAGCTTTGCGAAAGTTAAACCGCGGAGAATTAGCAAATGGGAATTTCGTTGGAGATCCGGATGTAATGAATTCCATGATCAGTGCAGGATGATGAACGTCCTCTTTAACAGAAGGTGTATTATCTTTGAGTACTTCTATTTCGATATTTCCTAAAATTAAATCCAGTATTCGACCATTTATATTTGGAATATTATTAAAATTAGTTAAATCTAAAAACGAAATAAAGTTGCTCATTAATTGAGACTTCAGATCACTAACGTCACTGTTGAATGATGCGAAATTAAAGTCACCAGCAACAATTATTCTACAATTACTGAATGCATTGTTAAATACTTCCAAAGCTTCAAGGTACTGACCAAACATGTCCAAATTAATTGAAGGCGGAATATAAATAGGAAAGATAACAAAATGGTCATGGTTAATAATAAGCCTAATACATACAGTATCAATCGACGGAAAGTTTCGACTCAAAGCACTAGCGTCAATTCTAATTGCATGGAAATCGCGTTTTATGGCTATCAGGACTCCTCCGCCGGAAATTAGACCAGATCGAATAAAGTCACGATCACATCTGAACACACAGTATTCAGCCGGAAATATGCTAAGTGACATATAAATCCGAACACCCAGTTTAAATGGTTTTATTTTAATAAAAATTTGTATAAGTACTTAATGAATCATAATACGTAAATGATAAAAATTTCAAAATGATTGCACTGCTTTAAAGCCCTTTAACCTTTAATAATGTGTGGATGCACGCTGATGTGCTACGGATTCTCCAACGCGCCTAGGCATGCTTCTGATCAGGTGGTCAATGTCCTCCTGTGGTATCTCATTCCAGGCAACCACCAACTCCTCTCGAAGTGCTTCTAGAGTCTGAGGAGGACGTTGCAAATTGAGCAATCTCCTACCCATCATATCCCACACGTGCTCAATTGGGGATAAGTCGGGAGATCTTGGTGGCCATGGTAATAATGTGACATCATTATGTTGAAAGAAGTCTATTGTGACTCTTGCAACATGTGGTCGGGCATTATCTTGTTGGAAAGTTGGATCTGCCAGGGTGCAAAGATAGGGTAAAAGATGGGGTTCTAGAACTTCGTGGATATAACGCTGCGCGTTCATGTTACCTCTGATGAAGATTAAAGGTGACCTGGAACCATAAGCTATAGCACCCCAAACCATAACTCCAACAGTGTGATGAACATGTCTTTCAACAAAAAACTGTGGATTCCTCCTTTCACCACGTCGCCTTCTAACCCTGGCATGACCATCGTGCATGCCTAAACAAAATCGAGACTCGTCACTAAAGACAATACTGTTCCATTCCTGATCCCAGAGTGACCGTTGTCTGCACCACTCAAGGCGATTACGTCGGTGTTCTCGAGTTAAAGGGAGGACCCAGTGTGGCCGGTATGAAAACAAGCCAAAACTTCTCATTCGTCGGTAAACACTTCGCATGCCAATAGGTCTTCCGTGTTCTGCAAACCATTCATTTGCAATGGACCTGGTAGTGGAGAAACGGTCCCTTAAGGCCAATAATCTTAGGCGGTGATCTTCACGGTCTGTTGTTCTACGGCGGCGTCCAGTGCCCCTTGCTCTTTGCGTACGGCCTTCTCGAAGCCATGCCTGACAACACCTAACCACAGTGTCTACACTTTTTTGCACTCTAACTGCAATTGCCCGAAAAGAAAGTCCAGCTTAAAAATTGGTAGTAGACATTGTGAACAAGTAACTCTTTCCATATTTTTTTAATAAGGAATCACCCTCTAAATTATCTCCGTCTATTTCTTGAGCACCATGTATTGTGTTTGTACTAATATCAAATTTTACATTTTTCAGATTGTACGTTATCAACAGTCGTCTCTACGGAAGGCCCAAGCTAGATCCCACCAGACCCCATCGGACCATCACAAAACAGCTGCTCGAGGACATTTTCAACGATGAAAAGTAAAGAGAAACATTATCACAAGAAGTGTAAATGTGTAAATTATACAGAAACGTGTCTAAAACGCTGAGACGTTCGTGATTAGATAAGTTCTTGTCAGTTGAGATTGTACACTAGCAAAATACGTTGGAGTAGCCATAAAAATTCATTACTATAAGATAAATTATGATAGTGACGGGGGTTGTTTCAAAAATAAGGTTCCCACATTTTCTCAGGCGCAAGGAATTTTTTATCTGAAAAATGAATTCACCATTGGAAACGTTGATCTTTAAACTATGTTGCCATTTTTTTCTACGTATTTTTTTAGTCGTGAAATCCACTTTTGTATCGTTTGTTGTGAGACATCCCCTACTACGATTTTGGATTGTATCAGCTTTTTCAGAAGCCGCTTCGGAATTTCAACAGCCTATTCCCGAATCGTAATTCGCCGATGTTCTAGAAAGATTTGCCACAGCTTCCTCGGAGATTGACAGCCCCCTGCTTCGTAGTTAATCGTGGATATCCGTGCGGCCGATATCGACTGATATAAAAAAATTAATCGTCAAAATAAAGGACTTTTCGATAAACACGTGGTTGGAAGTTTGCGAATGACCACCCTGTATATGTTTCTCTATACAGGGTGGCCCATCCATGTGTGGACGGAATATTACTGATAAACAATTACATTTTGAGAAAATCTATTTATGGGATGTTATACATGACATTTGAGGGCACATTTCTAAAATATTGGCCATTATACAGGGTGTCCCAATTTCGACCTACATATCAGAGTTGTGGTTTTCCAAATGGAATGCCTCAAATTTTATTATATACTTTGAAGTTGAGTCATTAATTTTCAGATAATGGTTGTAGAAGGAAGATAAAACAAAATATGTGTGTAAAAATAAAAAAAAATGTTACCTTGTTTTATAAAGTATCCTCCCGACAAGTATTTAAGTGCGGACCTGTATTTGATCGTGCGGTCTTGGAGCACCGGCATGCTCTCCCCTGTGAGGTCTTAAGTCACCTGATTCACGAGCCCTTTGTACTACATTAACAAAGGCACGAGGGGTTGGTTGCACTCGATTGGGAAACCGATCCGCATAAATCCGTGATGCCGCGTAAATAAGAATCATGTCCACAAGTGCAGCATTTTCGTAAACATGTGCCATTTTTGATTTCGTTTGAGCCACGCAACAGACACCACTATTCACTCACGCGTTACCGACTGACACTGACTGTATACAACTGAATAAAATAATTGTAAAAACATCGTTCCAAATTCTTTCGCTTTTTTGTTTCCGATGCGATGAACCGATAAGGCGGATTATATCCGTTGTCGCCAAACACGAGCACATAATATTATTATTGAGACAGGGCGGTACTCAAACTTCCAAAGGGCTATAACTTTGTTACTTTAATTTTACCAGAAAAATGGTAAAGGAAAAAACATTTCTTTTGATCAGATATACTCACTGTTAAAATAAATGACTCAACTTCGAAGTCACCCTTTGGATAAACCAATTCAAGAGACAATGAATTTTTATGGGCGGTAACTGAAAGCTCCATTGCGCATGGCTGTCGGGCAGGTACTAAGCATCGCAAATAGGCGCTTGTTGTTGGGATCGGTGGTGGGGCGTAGCATCACTCGCGGCAAAGATACAGCGTTGGGTACAATTTTTGAAAGAACCCTCAAATTATATCCACAAAACAAGGAAAAGCTTATAGTTGATTACATTTAATACTTGTTTCTTCCTTGATTCACAATAATTTCGCCCAAATGTTCTTTGTAGGCACAGTCTTAGATATGAAAGATCCGTAAAAAGTGACGATGTTGTTGGTTGATCATTGAATGCTTTTTTAGTTGTAAGAATCCTTATAAAACTACGAGGCCATTCATTATTTATATACTCGTTGTATTTATAACTTTATAATTCGCAATAATTGTGAATGTACATAATTTTTAATTTCGTAGCTTTTAAGAATTTTCTTAATTAGTACAAGTTTTCCCATTTGCTGCTACTCATATGTATGTAATATGGTGGCAAAAGGTTTTTGTATTATCATGTAAATATATAAAAATAAAGATACAAACTTTATACGAAAGGGTGTCCGCAAAGTTGGGGTTTTCCTTTACACGACGTGTAGATCTTGAAAACATAAGCAATTTTTCTTGGTACCATATACACCAATGTCTTAAGGGAACCGAGATAAAAGGATCTGCAACATAAAAAATAACTGAATACCGTCCTGTAGCCGCGACCCGCCGCGATATCCCAGACTGGTACTAGGACACTAGCTCAACCCGACGACAGAACTCGGTCGGGGTCAGTGTGTCAGGTCAGTATGCAACCTTCAAGAGACGAGAATCCCTCAACAAGCACTAGAGACGTGGCTAGAGAAGTGCAAGTATCAAAAACTAAAGTGTGGCAAACGCTGCGTGATGAGGGGTTGTATCCGTTTCACGTCCAACGTGTACAAGCTCTTCAACCTGACGATTTTCCAGCAAGAGTGCGGTTTTGTCAGTGGTTGTTGCATCAACATGACAATAATCCGGACTTTTTGAAGTGCATATTGGTGACAGACGAATCTACGTTCACGCGTAATGGGGTGAATAACTTTCGCAACACTCATGTTTGGTCAGTAGAAAATCCGCAGGCTGTCCGTCGGTGAATGTTTGCGCTGGCATGGTGAACGCTATGCTCATCGGACCATTTATTCTCCCAAATCGATTGGACGGGATGCAAGACCTAGTCTTTTTACGCAACATTTTGCCTTCCTTGTTTGCCTGCGTCTGCTCGGTAGCGCATCAGCTGATTTCATTTCCTGTTGGAGCGGTACGATTTCGGGCAGAGACGTACTTAGCCCTTCTCGTCAACTGGAGAGTGAGTACTTTTTCCTTTATTTTTTTTTTACTTGGTCGCCCTCGTTTCACAACACATTACCTTTGTTATTTCAAGGATAGTTGTTTCTGAAAAGGAAAACCCCAACTTTGCGGACACCCTGTATATATTGAAATTGTGATTAGTATAGACATCGAATCTGCAGATACCGATAAATAAATAATTTCAGAGTTGGGTGTTCCCCAAGCATCCGTCTTGGCCTCCTTTCCTGATCAATCCGATCCACAGCTCTGCAAAGCGATCATTGTCGGGAAAGAACATTTTATACGGAAATGTCTTGGTATTTATTTTTCAAACTAATTTTTCTGAAACTTCCTTTTATTATTCAGTTGTGGCCCAAAAAAGGAGCGATTTAAAAAAGAAAGGTTTTTAATTCCAACGTCAACGCTCGAAATGCTGACTATCACGCTCTATGCATTCCTGAAGCTGTTACGTATTACATTACGAAACTTTTATTTTTAGAGATATAGCGAAAAATTGTTCAAGCAAAAAAGTTCACATTATCCTCGACAATAAAGATCCGATATTTTTTTGTCTACAATGGATAGGTTCTCAGATACAGTCCATCGCATTCTTACTTGGCCACCCTGTAGAAGGCTCAGATAAGACCTGGCCTAGAATACTAATCACATATTTCGGGTGCTGCCGCCCCGACTATATTATCCATGCTCGATGTTGTTAAATGATGGATTTCCTCTAACAGACAGTCTCGGGAACGTTTCGCACCGACGAGCCGTCAGCGGCTCTCCTACCGCTATGCTCTCCTCCATAATTCTACTGCCCGACATGCCTGTTAGTCAGACCCGCCTTACTTCGGCCTCCCAACCTAACCCTGCTGAATTTCGTTGATCGAGAACGGGCCGATACGACCGCTCCTTTATCGAGACTGTGAAACAACCTACCTGAAAGTGCTTTTCGAGGTAAAAAAAGAAACGACGGATATCTGCAAAGCTTCTCTGGGAGATCATACAAAAACGTAATACCACATTTTGGAATCTTCCCGCGATTACCATAGTTTCTGACCAGTTGACGGGAAGTAAAAATGTCGAAGTATTATTGTAGATGCTGCAATCACCTTCGTCCTTAAGTTTCAAATTTCACACGTATTATATCTATCTTTCTCAGCGACTCGGTATTGTGTTGAAATCTTTTGGACACTAATGTAGTATACGTATATATAGTTGTGTCAACTGGCCCGCTTTGCTTAACAACCGTAGCACCCAAGATATGTGGGACACTTTCGCTCAACGAGTCCTAAGCGAAACGGCTGACGATACTGTTGAAAAGAAGGTATACTGTGACCCCTCAAAGCCCTGGATCGACTCTAACATATCGAGGATGCTTCGTCACAAGAGATCTTTGTGGCAACGGTTTAGGAGGAGTGGCCATTCACAAGATTACGTGTCTCATCGATCCTTTTCTAACCTCCTATCTAGAACGTTACATAATGCCAAACATGCTTATGAACGAAAACTCGTTACCTCCAAAAATAAGAAGAAGCTGTTTCGGTATCTAAAAACAAACCTGAATTACAAAGTTTCATCACCTCAGATCCGCGACGCTGACGGTCATCTCCACATGGATGCCACCGAATCTGCCAACTTACTGGCAGAGTCCTTTAGTGATGACTTCGTCGATGAGCCTAATGGAGACCTTCTACCGACCACCAGCTGCCATAGGTGTCCCAACAGCCTTTGCGAAGTTGAGTTCCTGCTTGAAGATGTATTAATGCACCTGCGAAATCTGAAGACCTCTTCCTCCCCTGGTAAAGATGGGATGACGGCTGCTGTACTTAAAAACTGCGCTTCAGCACTGGCCCTACCGTTAAGCTTGATATTCACATCGTCTTTTAGATCTCATACCATACCCTCATGCTGGCTTAGTGCTTCTGTTACCCCTGTATTCAAAAAGGGCGACAAATCCTCCGCTAAAAATTATCGACCAATAAGTCTCGTTCCTATCGCCGCCAAAATAGCTGAAAGAATCATATTAGATAAGCTCCTGTCATTTGCTTTCGAAAATGACCTTATCCCTAAGAATCAGCATGGATTTCTCCCTGGTCGATCAATAATGACCAACCTTTTCCACTCTCTCAACGATTGGACTCAGTATCTGGACACAAAGACTCCTGTTGATATAATCTACTTAGATTTTTCTAGGGCTTTCGATCGCGTACCACAAGAAGGCTTCTGTTTAAGTTGGAATGTATGGGAATAAGAGGCGAGTTGTTACTGTGGATTAAGGCTTTTCTCACCGGGAGGACTTTCTCTGTGCGCGTCAGTGATAGCCAGTCTCACCTTCATCATGTAGCAAGTGGAGTTCCTCAAGGCTCTGTCTTGGGGCCAGTGCTGTTCCTTCTGTATACAAGTGACCTGCCCGCATTGATTTCCTCCACATGTTCAGCTTATGCCGACGACACCAAGATTTACAATACTGTCGTAAATTCTGCTATGCTTCAACGAGATCTTGATATTGTTTGTCAATGGTCAGTCAGTTGGCTTTTACCCTTAAATCTAACTAAGTGTTGTGTCCTTCACCTCGGGAAGACAAATCCGCGATTTACATACAAGATCTCTGACCACAACATCGAAGCAGTTTCCAGCCACACTGATCTAGGCGTTGTAGTCAACGATCGTCTTTCCTGGTCAGAGCATATTCACCACGTTACATCGAAAGCAAGAAACTCCTATACATGCTGGAGAGGTCTTTCAAAGGATCCGATGTCAACACTTGCGCCTACATTTACAAGGCATTCGTGAGGCCAATTCTTGAATTCGCTGGCCCGGTATGGGACACTGTGCTTCTGCGCGATAGAAATCTCGTCGAATAAGTACAGCGTCGGGCTACTCGTTTCCCTTTTGGAGCACGAAGACCAAGCTATGAAGATCGCCTTGAATTATTCAACCTGACCTCATTCTCTGAGCGAAGACTTCGTGGCGATCTTATAGTTACGTTCAGGATACTTCATGGTTTGATGGGCACCAACCTCATGCATCTATACCGTCTGTCGCGCAGCAATCTACGCGGACACAGCTTCAAACTGCATAAGGAGCCATTTAAAACAACAGTCTGACAGTGGTTTCTTCCCAACCGCATATTCAACACCTGGAATAGTTTACCTGAAAGTGTGGTTGGTGCTACTTCAGTTAATAGCTTCAAAGTGCAGTATGATAGCTGGAGGAGTGTACAAACTTTATAGCTATGAACTGTCTTTTTTTATTTTTTTCTATTTGATGTATTTGTGTTACGTGTCCGTACACTATATTTACTGCACGAGCTTATAGTACTGTGTACTCTGCTCATCTCAATTATCATAATAATAATAATAATTATTTACGACTATCTTAGAAATTTCCTGATAAAATATCGTTGGTCCCTCGTAGAATTGGTTCCGCCCATTGCCAACCAGCGCCACCTCGTGATTTCTGTACGCACTAGCCGTATAGGAATATTTGGCTTCCTATCAAGATACCTTCTTTTAAAAACCTGTATGGGAATATTAGGTTTACTATCAAGATACCTTCTTTTAAAAACTTACGTGTACAGACGGGTTGAGCGCCATTTTTCTTTTCTTCTTGGCCGCTGAGGTGTGGTGTGACGGCGTCACCTCTGGGATATTACGCCCCAAACACCAGATTATGGAGTAGCCATCCTGTATTTTGTACCTTACGTTTAGTTGTTTTGGTTTGGGTGCTACCCCGTCAATTTTCTAATGGGATTTTAACCAGCATTCACACTCCTCCAGATTTGTAGCTGTATTGTAGCTGCTCATAGCCGATTTTGGCTCTCCCTTTCGCTCAACAAAAAAACCCTGATGTGAACAGGGTTTTTTTATACCGTAAATTTTGAGAACGGGGGAAGCAGCCCCTACCTTGTGACGTTCCTCACGTCACTGCCCACTGCTGGCCACTGGTTTTTAACCGGAGCGTTTGTGAGCTGAGGGCATCTTGGCTGCGCCTAGAGCTGTAACTGGAAGAAGATCAATGTCCAGATAAGTTTAGGTATAGGCGTTAAAATATTTGTAAAGCCTATATTCGTAAAGCCTTGAGGTTCTGAATGTCGGTAACATGCCCACTTTCAGCAATAGTGTAATAGAAGAGGTTATCGACGTAACACTGAGCACGCTTAACTTAGCTCAGGACATCAGGGACTGGAAAGCGTCTCTAACACCCGCTCTATCGGATCACAGGTATATACTGTTTAAGACTGATGGATAGATACTAGATGGGGGTCCTTTAGGGCAGACATTGGAGCGGTCCCATACAGACTTTGTAGGGGCTCTGACATAGAAGCAGCTGTCGAGTCTCTGAGCAGGGACTTGACTGCGTCATATAAGGAAAACTGCCCGTTACGCAAAGTTCAAGGCAAGGGCAAGGCAACCTTCTGGACCAAAGAATTAGAGGATAGAAAACGAGCGGTGCACAAACTTCTTAGCAGAGTTAAGCACAGGAGAAGTTCTCCTCTACGGGAAGACTACAAAAAGGCATTGCAGGAGTACAAAAAGGAGATTAGAAGGGCCTCGAGAGAATCCTGGAGGAACTTCTGTCAGTCCAAAAATGACATTCCTGCTACTGCTAGAATACACAGGGTCCTATGCAAAGACATTAAAACAAGATTGGAATCTCTGCATGATCCCTCGGGGGGAAGGTACTCTGAGGCTTCTGATGGAGACGCACTTCCCCTGTTCCACAGTAGCGCGATCAATCACAGAGTGCATGCAGTTGCGCAGGCCCTCAGGGGAGCACTGGCGCACGGCAAGGGAGATAGTCA